AAAGCGCCGACTTCAAAACGTTGTCATCTATACATTCAACAAACTGGCCGTGTCGTATATCAACTCATACCTATAAAACCGATTTTAAAAGCCTTTTCATTCGTTTTAAATTAAGATGTATTCGCTATAATATTGGAGGACCACGCTACACCCGCGTCTATACTTTCTGTGTCTTTTCGGTCTAACAAACGGGCAACACAGTAAATCAACGTTACTATTAGAACGTAAATCGCAACGTTAAAATTGAAATTATATTTCAAACACAGATAAGACCGTATTGTTAAAATTGCTTGTTTCTAAACCGATTGCCGTACAAAAAAGTTAAAGCCATATTTTTGTTTCGACTTCCTGAAAATAACTTTCTATGGAAAATATATTTACGTGGAACACTCGAAAATATGCTCCTCTTGAAATCTCATCATTCGATGATCATCGAAAGATGTTCGAGATTTCGTAGAGAAACAAATGAAAAAGTGTTAAGAACAATAAATTAATGAAAAAAGCAACTTTGGCAAATCACAAAAAATAGAAAGAGTAATATATTATGATAAACGCGTAACACACTGCGCGCCGTGAGTGTTTGTTGAAGATGATCGTCAAGGGCTGTGTGAATGGTAAAACTGGAATAGCGATGGACATCAAGGATGCAGTTGCGTTATTTGGACCACGCGGGGTGTGCGTTTGCGTATTTAAAATCCGTAATTTGGCTCGGTGCTATGAAATTGGCCCGAATGGATATATTACGCGTTATACCGGATTAGGATTTTTGTCGGCCCATGCAAGGTTTATGGCCTGCATAATCACGTGGGTATTAAAGGAAAAAAAAAACAAATTGAAATGACGCCACTGCAAGGATGCAATATACACCGCAAATTATTATGACGGACGAGGACACGGGAGTGAAAAGTCATTGCTGAAGGCGCTCGGTTATGACGGATAAGCGTGGAGATCTGCGGCCAACCGCGATCGAAAGATCGAAGACGGCCAAAAAGAATAGATTATCATTCGCCGGATTAACATTTTGTAATAACGAAATAACGAGCGTTCAAAAAAAAAAAACAAAAAAAACACGTTTCTTCGGTATAATACTATTGTTTGTCAGTGCGTGTAACGTCACCGCGATTTATACCGTGACCGCGGGAATTTCAAGCGAAACGCGAATTATTCTACGTCAAATAATCACGGTAACAACAATAATATTATTTAATGTTTACTGCGGGTAACAAATATGATTTTAACAATGCGCGCGCAATAAACTTTTGTTCGTCGCGGACGTCGGCGCGTATAAATTAAATTACAGTCGACAAAAGCGATTCGTTTTGATGTTTATTTTTTTTATGTAATACCATATTATTATTATTATTATTATTATGTATATTTTTTTTTTCATAACGATATTACCGTAACCGCAGTTCGTCGCGATAACGTTTCGTATTCACGCGGTTCTGTTTCAATTTTGATTCCGCGTTCCGAATTACAATAATATATATATATATATATTATACGCGGGGCGAGCTGCGACGACGAACCCGCACCGTATCTAAATCGGTAATTTTTTTCGTCCGACGTTTCCGAACCGTTCGTATAATCGTATATTATGTATATTATTGTAGGCACCTATAATACGTATACGTATTATATAGTCACAGAGAGCGCCAACGCGATTGTGTGTGATCGATCGATAAAAGCGCGGAGGGGAAAAAAAAAAAAAAACCACAACGACAAGCGAATAATTTCGTATTAACACATCGTCGTGACTACATAACCGTAAATATTATTATATTTATACGGATCGAATCGTACGAGACGTGTGTAATCGTCGATAATAATGTGTAACGCACTCTGACACCGGACGAAAAATATTTACTCGTGTACCCGCAAGGGAGTTTGAGTCACCGACGCCTATGGCGGCCGCTCGGAACCCGACAAATTGTGCCCCCGTTGCCCCCGCGGGTGTGAAATTCGTTTGCCCACCTCTTGGATACGTCCGTCACCATCAGTATCTCTGTTGCTCATTTTAGATTCGGAGCGTGGCGAATGTACTATATAGTTTTACAATGATATTTTATTGTTTTTATCTGTAAGCCGCTTTTTCACCAGAAAACTCATTCCGACGAGTCCGGTGCAGCACTTTTTCCGGAAGAAAATTTTATCTAATCGGTATACTTTATACGGGTCATTTTTTTGATTTTCCAAGCAGTTTTCATAATAATCGGTAATAACGTAGCAAAAACGGGAAAATATACGTACAATGTACATAAACGAAACTTCGCTCCGAATCGTTTTTCATTAGCGATGGTTTATCGTTGCATACAGATATACATTATATTCCTTTCTATATCCTACCTTTCTCAACGGTCACCCATCCGTGTAAATTATGTCAGTCATTTTTTTTTTTTATTCGTAATGAGTGTAGTTTTGTATACTCGATACGTAGTATAGTTATTGTTGAATAATTCGTCTAATACATTAATACATTTACCGGGCGATATTACGAATTATTGCAAAATCATGGATAGCGTAGAATGGCCATATAGGACGGGAAAATGCAATTTAAAAAAGCTATCAGATCTAATCCGACTTTTCCGTTTTTCCTATGTTTTTTACCGGTTTTTTTCACATTTGCTGGGAAAACTCTTGGAAAAATCGAAAAATGACTTCCTTAAAGTACCTCTTTAATCCGATATACTTTCAGAAAAGGTGCTTCACTTAAAAATTGGAGCAAGACCTCTGGTTGAAAAGTTGTTTACAGAAAGTAAAAAATAATCGTCTTTGTAAAACCATATTAAGGTTCTTCGCTCCACTCAAAATCTAAAATATAGTAATAATAATTTTTCATTTCATAATTTTCTGAAGACTGACTTTCGTGAAGCGCTCTTGAGCCGATATAGGTGTGTAGGTTAGGTTTTCGTATACCGAGCGGTCAGTCCGCAGATAACACAGAGACGATCGATGTCCGATAGTAGTTTTAGGTATTGAAAAAAAGGGTGCCCGTATAGTCTTGAAAATACTCTCATTTCGGGGTAAAAAAAAAATACTCACGCTCGGATGGGCCACGCCTTATGTATATGATAATATTTGTGTACGTTCAAAAGTCTTTTATCGCTCGTTTAGGATGTGTATATAATATATAGTATATTATGTATAATTTATATGAACAGATATGTGCGGAGAACGCATCATTTTAGAAAATATCATATTACTTTAGTACATTAGGTATATAATATTGTGTCGGGGACTGTCGAGTATCGAGAATTATTATAATTTTAAGTTTTTTTTTTTTTTTGTTTCGTATATTTCTGTTGGTAGTAAAACAAAAAAAAAAAAATATTAAAAAAATGTGTTAAACAATGTCGACTCTAAATATTTAAAGTAAGTGGTACCTGCATAGAACAATATTTACAAATAAGAAAGAAAAAAAAAATAATAATAATAAATAGAAATAATGGATCGTTATGGAAAATATGATTGTAGTCGAAAAATATTATACGGGTAAACAACGGAAATAATAATACGCGTGTATATTATACACAGGTAACATTATGTGTATAGACGATAGAGATACCGAAATCGAAGATAACGTATATTATTATACTCATATTGGAACCTGTCACTTTATTATTTCCATAATATTATACATTATCTCGCCGTTATAATATTTTTTACTGATAATATAATGTTATGTTTTGTTTCAAAAGCGAGCGCGTAAACGAACAATGGATGGCGATGGCTGTTCGACGATATTCGAAGGGGGAAAAAAAAAAAAAGAATAGTCAATAAACGGATATTTTTTGGGTCACGTGCTTAGATATTTACTATACAGCGTGTTCGCGTTTCCAGGACATTCGGATTTCAATTCCGTTTTCAGTGTTCAGAGCTGGAGCGGGACACTGAAATAATCGTTCAGTTAGAGTACGATATTATGATGGTTTTCTTCGGTGCGTGTGGTACGAACGAATTTTTCCGAACGCCCGTTTTTTTACAGTAGATTCGTACAGCCCTGTTATTATGATTTTTTTTCCATATTAACAATTATTACCCGAGAACATCAAAAGTCGGTCGAAGAATTTTTTTGATTAATTTTTTTGTATCAGTGTTTTCGAGAAATTGCAATGACTGCATCCGAACTGAGTCCCAATAAAATCTTTTAGAACGAATTGAGTACCGGGTTGTTTTTAGATATATACTATATAATTGAGTCTTTTGATATTTTAGCTATACTATACTAATTGAGTCCATGTTTTATTACTGACCGAGTCCCGTCAAACTTTGAAAAAAAACAACATCAAAATTACATTTTTTATATTGATAAAAATTAATTATAATATTAATAATTAAAATGTTACTTCCGTATAACTGAATAGGTGACAAAATTATATTGTAATGATATGCTATTTAAGCTATCATACATTATGTAAAATAAAATATTATGTAATGTTAATAAATCAAACAATTAATAACAGGAATGATAGTAAAACATTTACATCCGATTCCATTCTTTTTTATTATCAAATAACATATATTTTAGTACGATATTTACTCATCGTAAGGAGATAATACTTAAGCTATCATATATAATTAAAATAAATTATATAATCAATATTGTAAAATAATTATAATAATTTGTAGTCATTAATTATTAGATTAAGTTGTTAGTATTAACTAAATTAAGATAGCACATTTACACACGCACACACACATATTTCTCCAGTTATAAGGAGGCCGGCCACTTCCAATAAACCCACAGTGTATGTATTGTTCCCGTTGCTTTTGGACAGATGATCACAAGCGAGTGTAAAAGACTACGCAGAGATTCTGACAAAAGCACGGGAACCTAGAAAAGTGCTTTATATTTTAAAAAAAAAATTAATAAATAAAAAACAATTGTTACATTAAAAATCTTTTTATTCACTACGGTCACCTTTGTCAAATTCAACATATCAATTTGCCGCCTGAAGAAGAAAGGTAAATATATTGAACATAATATTAGCTTAAACTTTTTATAATATTATCAACCAACTAATAGGTTATTCAAAAAACAAAAATTAAATAAATAAATAAAAGAAAATAACTGTCAATAAAAAATTGTTTAGTACGTGTAGAGATGGATCCCTCTAACCCAACTTTTACTCCGATGGCTGAAAACGTAGCGAATTTAGATCAAAAACAAATGGAAATAGAACTTACAAGGAGAGGGCTTATTACTTCAGGAACGCTATCCGAATTAAGGACTAGACTCTTACAATATCTCATGGGCGAATCTATACCCACTGATTTTACGAAATATAAAACACCTACTTCCAACCAAGCAAATAACAATGAAAATACCATAAAAATGACTAGTAAAAAACCATATTTCAAACCCGGAACATTCTCGGGACTAAATTGGGAAAATTTTGACTCTTTTATTAATAAATATAATATGTCTGCATCAATTAATGACTGGTCTGAAGAAGACAAAATTCGATATTTCCCGGGTTTTCTAGAAGGTACCGCATTAAAAGCATATGAAAATATACCAGATAACAGTAACATAATAACTAAATGGTCAAATCTAGAAAAGCATTTTCGAGTACAATTCGAACCTACCGCCCAAATTGACATTCTTCGTTCTCATTTAGAAAAACGTAAACAACTAGATGACGAACAACCCATGGTTTACATAACTGATATAGAATCTCTATGCAGACGCATCGACCCCTTTATGACCCAACAGGAAATAATACGCAATATCATGAAGGGTCTTAAATCAGAAATTATTAGATCTGTAGGTTTTATGGATAATAATACCGTAGAAAATCTCAAACAAAACATTCAAAAATTTGAAAAAATTGAATTTATGGCGAGTGGTTGTCTATACAATCAATCACCATTAAAAAATAAGGAATCAATATTTAGAGAAGAAATTTTTAAAATTAATGAAAATATGAAAGCATTAAAAGAAAATAATGAGAAAATAATAAAAGATCTACAAAATTCAACTATAACCGAAAGCATTAATAAAATCACAAGTCAATTTAACGATAAATTTAATACACTTAGCGAACAGTTAAAATCACAAAACACTCAACAACCAAAAAACACTCAATATTTTAGAAATAATAATTATACTCCGCGTTACAATTCTTCTAGAGAACAAAAAACATTTAGAAAAAATAATTTCGAATCCCAAATACCCCGTACTCAATGCAATAACTGTAAACTATACAATCATACTAGCGAAAATTGTCGTTTTCCCATAAATCCGCCTACATGTCAACTTTGTAATAGAATAGGTCACATTGCTCGTGAATGCCGATTATATTTTAATCAGTCAAAAAACGAGTAAATAGGTTAAATGGCTACAATGACAAAAGCCATTACCCTTCTTTGTCACACACAAATATCAAAATAGATAACAACACAATAAATCATAGAATAAATACACTCACTGAGTCATTATACATCTATGCATACTTAGATAACTCTAAAATATCACTGACCATTGATACCGGT